GGCCAGCCGAACCCCCCCACCACCACCACCACCTCCCGTGAGACTGCGATTCGAGGCACGCTTTTAGAGAGGCCACACGGTGTGCTGTAGGAGTGCCGAGGCCCTGGGGATCGAGAAACTCGGCTGCGCCTGGGAGGGATGGGACTTGGGGACACACCTGAAGATGAGCCAGAAAAGGGGGGCAGGGCTAGGTGTGGCCCCTAGAGTGAGAGGTGAGACATGAGAAGGTGGGCTGGGGCAGAGGGAGAAGTCAGGGTCTTGGAATGCTGAGCCGCAGGGAACATACTCGGCGGTGTAGGTGGGAGTCACAGCTGGGGAATCTCCCTGTCTGCACTCACCGCTCCCCTGCAGGAAGATGGGCAGAGAGCGTTTGTGCAGGGGTGGGTGGGGCAGAGCTGCTCAAATCGAATCTAGACCGTAGGCAACAGGCCTTGTCTGGTTTCTGCTCCTGTGAGCACATTCTGACTGCGGAGTTGTTTGGGGGACCCAGACACCTACTGCTTGACTGCACCCCTTCCTCCATCTCCTTTCCCCTAGGACAACTCACTAGGAGACGCCCTCTGCTTGGGCAGCTGGTGTGGACCTAGAGGAGAGAACCACCTTCCTGAGCTGGCTGGCACTCAGCGTCCTGCAGCTTGTAGGCCATTCTGATCCACCGGCGCGTTTCAGGGGCCTGGACCACAGAATGGCCTCCAGGCCCCTCTGGTCAGGACTTTTCCTCTTTAGGCTCCTTACCAAACTGTGGTTCTTGGACCACCAGCGTTAATCAGCATCATCTGGGTGTTAGTTAGACTTGCAGTTTCAGGCTCTGCCCCAGACCTACTGAGAATCTAATTTATTTGTTTATTCATTCATTTAAGAGTTCTTGCCGGGACCAGCAGTTAGCGTAATGGCTATGTCGCTGGACTCCCATGTAGTCTACTGCGATTCGAGTCCTGGACCTGGTGGCTTAAACTCATGCCAGGCGCGTGTGCATGCGTGCCCAAGATCCTGGGAGGAGAATGGAAGAGAAGGGATTGCGGTGTGGCCATCCCCCCTGGGGGGTGATTTCTTTCTTTCTATTTCTCTGTTTCTTTCTGTCTGTCTGGCGAGCCACACGCCCTATAGCAAAAACCTCTCCAAAAAAAAAGAGTTTTTGCCATAGGGTGTGTGCGCTCACCCGAGAGACAGATAGGGAAAGCGAGGAATCACCCCCCCTGGGGGAATAGCCATGCCACAATCCGTTCTCCTCTCGGGATTTGGGCACACATGCACACGTGCCTGGTGTTTCTCAGGCTGCCACGCTCCAGACTCGAACCACAGAGTAGGCCATAGGGCCTCCAATACCTTAACTACCACGCCACCGTTGACCCTAGAGTTTGCATTTGAACAAGACCCTCAAGGACATCAACCTGAGGAGTACTGCACTAGAGGCTTACAGGGGCCACCTTGTCTGTGGCCACTGCTGAGGCCTCCTGGGGTGCCTCACCACCGCCCCTCTGAGCCCGCGCTTCCTGTTCAGGGTAGGGGAACCCCACTGAGCAAGGTCCTGTGGTTGCAGAGGCAGGCCTTGGTGTCACTCACACCAGTGGCTTTTGAACTGCCTTGATTTGCTGCCCGGCCTGGCCTGAGGGCTTTGCATGCACCGAGTGGCCTGCGGGCTCTCCCTCGCTCTTCTCAGAGGGTCTTCCTGCGTGTGGCTCCAGGAAGAAGGCCTCAGCCTTGGGACTCCCTCAGGTCAGCCTGCCAGCATCCTGGCCTGCCCTGGACAGAGCCTGTTCCTGTAGATGGACTGATGACTGGAGGGACAGCCAGGCCCTGGTCAGCTCAGCATGGAGCCTGCCTTGTCCAGAAGGTTCCACCGGTGCTTCTCAGGGCGTGCCGTTGGCGCCAAGTGTTTTCTCTGGTGGGGGGTTTTAGTCGTCTTCTGATCCCCGCCCCTCCATGTAGCCTGGCTTCATCCAGCCCATCTCCCCAAAACCTAAACGCAGAACTTTGTTTTCACACTGGTAAGAGTTCCCCTTGGCATACGCGGTGGTCATTTCCGCAACGTTAGCCCTGTAAACCCTGCCCCCTGCAAGTTTCATACAGAGGAGCTCATCCTTTTCCCACGTGTTGTCTCCTGGTTCTCCAAAGCTCACGGACCTCTTACGAGGTGAGCCCAGCTCTCAAAGCTGTGAGCTGGTTCGACCACAGCCCTCCCGGCCCTGTGATTTGCTCATAATTTAGTCGGGAAAAGCTAGACCGTGGAGCTGTGTGATGACTAGGGCGCCTGGACAGCTTAGTCCCTGCATGGTCTTGGTGCCTTGCCCTGGGAGCTGATCCAGCCCCGTGCCGTGTGTGGAGATTCTGGGGCCCAGAGAGGGGAAAGGATTAGAACCCAAGGCTCTGGACTTCTGTTAACACTTTGTCCTTAGTCACTAACTAAGGAAGACCCACCCTGAATCAATAGGCTTGTTGCTCAGGCGGCTTGCCCTGGATGCGTGCTGCTAACTCGGCCCTTAGAGTTGAAGCTGAAGCAGGCAGTGCTTTTCCTAGGCAGTCTAGTCAAAAAGCATGCCTCTGGCCTAGCCTGGTCACGTGGGAGGATGAACCAAAAATCCTATCTGGGGTTTATGGCTGAGACTAGAGATTCTTTTTTATTTTCCATAGGGCACATGCGCTAGCTGGAGACAGACAGACAGACAGAGAGGGAAAGTGAGAAATCGCCCCTGCGGGGATGGTCACACTGCAGTTCCACTCCTGCCTTTCTGCCTTCAGGATTTTGGGCACTCATGCACCTGTGTCTAGAGTGATTCTCAAGCTATCATGTCCGGGACTTGAACCATGGTTGGCCTTGTGGGAACCCAGTGCCTTAACCACCACGCCACCTGCTTGCCCCAGATTCCATTTTGATGCGGTGCCTGGGAAAGGGGTGGGCAGTGAGCTGAGCTGCACCGTCTCCTCTCTTGGCCTAGAAGTAGCTGGTGTTTCTTCCTACCGCCGTGGTGGTGAAGGCCTCTCCGAGGACTCCCCGACCTCACCTTGGAAGTCTGAGTTGGGCAGCATTGTCCGGAGAGGCCTCTGACCCCAGATTCCTCGATGAGTCTTAACATGAGTGGTCCTAAGACACAGAGCCCTGTTTTTCCCCTCTTCTCCCTGATAAGCCTTTTTCATTTGTTTAAGAATTATTTTATTATTACTTTTAATTTGACCAGAGAGAGAGAGAAGGAAAGTGAGAAAGCAAGCTGCTGGGTCTGGGACTCGAACTGTGGTTGGTCATGTGGGAGTCCAGCACCCCAACCACCATACTACCTGCCGGCCCCACCCTAAGGAGCCTTTATTCCTCTGCCTCAGGAGAAAAAGAGGAAGATAGGATTGATTTTGTGCAAGGTCAAGCTCATCCTTGCGCAGTTCCCATGTGACTGTGAATTGGTTTCTAAAGGAAATCATTTCTAGCCTATGACTAGAATGCAAAGTAAAGCCCACAAGCTAAGTGGCTTCAGAACTCTTTCTTTATTTTTAAATTTGCCATAGGGTGCATGCCCTAGCTGGAGAAAGATGGAGAAGGAGAGAGAAAGTGAGACAGCTTGGGGCGGGGGTGGGGGGTTGGGGGACAGACAGACAAAATATAGTCCCTTCTCTAGTCTCCCCTCAGGATTTTGGGCATGCTCACACATATGTCCCGTGTGTTTTCTAAGCTGCCGGATCTAGGGCTCGAACTGTGGCAATCGGCCATATGAGGTCCAGCTGCCTTAACCAACACCTCACCTGGTTGGCCCTGGTTTCAAAATTCCTATAGCTGAAAATCACCTTGGTTTTGAAGACAAGGTAGAAAAGGGAGGCCAGGTTTGGGAGGGGAGTGGAAAGGGCCGCCTTTAGCGGGGAGTGCTTGCTGCCCTGGGTAGCCCATACTGCCCTGAAGTGTAGGGCAGGGAGTGTGCAGGGATGAAGAGCAGGGTCAGCAGGACCAGATGGTTTTTCTGCTTCTTGAAAATTAGTTTGGTTTTGATCTTTTGTTGTCTTTAAACTTTTAAAAGGTTCACTATTTTACAAAATCAGCAGTATACCAAAAAAAAGGAGCAAAAACCGAAAAGGAAAAAAATCCACCTGAAGTTCCAGTGCTTGCTGTTGACATTTTGATGTATTTCCTTCCAAACTTTAAAGATGTTATCGTGGCTTGTTTCTCCGGCAGGGTTGTAATTCCGTGTGTCTGCGGTGTGTCATGATGGCTTGTATTCCTCCAGCCCTTCCGGGTCATTCCTTCTGGGATTGCTCAGTACCCTCCTGACTCTAATCTTTTGGATATTTCATAATCCCTGCCCCTCCTTTTTTTAATATTAATAAGTTACAGTTGTTTTAGTGCTTAGCACCAGGAACCGTGCTAAGCACTTGGTGCAGTTTACAGTGTACGAGCTACTCCGAGGAGGCGTCTTCAACAGGGAGGTTACAGTGCTGGATCGCACAAGACCGAACGGAGTGAGCAGTTTGAGTCCTAGACCTGGGAGCTTGAAAATCATGCAGGGTGTGGTGTGTGTGTATGTGCTTGCCCAAAATCCCAAAAGGAGAGTGGAGAAGGGACTACAGTGTGGCCATCTCCCCAGGGTGTGATTTCTCACTTTCTCTATTTCTCTCCAGGCCAGCACCCAGGCCCTATAGCAAACCAGAAAAAAAAGAAATCTAC